TCCCAAGTGAAATATGAGATGCTGTTCCTGCAACCTTCGGGTGGCATCGTTGTGGCAATGCAGGAGGCCCAGGATGGACATGTCGTCCGAGGAGTGGGAGGGGGAGTTGAAATGGTTCGCAACTGGGAGGTGCAGTTGTTTGTTGCGAACCGATCGTACGTGTTCCAAAAAGTGGTCCCCAAGCCTCCGCTTGGTTTCCCCGATGTAGAGGAGGCCACATCAGGAACAGCGGATACAGTATACCACATTAGCAGATGTGCAGGTGAACATCAGTTTGATGTTGAAGGTCTTCTTAGGGCCTGGGATGGGGGTGAGGGGATAGATATAGGGACAGGTGTAGCACTTCCTGCGGTTGCAGGGAAAAGTGCTGGGTGAGGTGGGGCTGGAGGGGAGTGTGGAGTGGACAAGGGAGTCCAGGAGAGAGTGGTCCCTCCGGAAAGCAGATAAGGGTGGGGAGGGAAAAATGTCTTTGGTAGTGGGGTCGGATTGCAGATGGCGGAAGTGTCAGAGGATGATGCGTTGGATTCGGAGGTTGGTGGGGTGGTATGTGAGGACTAGGGGGATTTTGTTTTGGTTGTTATTGTGGGGAGGAGGCGTGAGGGATGAGTTGCGGGAAATGCGAGAGACACGGTCGAGGGCGTTTTCAACCACTGTGGAGGGGAAGTTGCGGTCCTTGAAAAATGAGGACATCTGGGATGTTCGGGAGTGGAATGCCTCATCTCGGGAGCAGATGCGGTGGAGGCGAAGGAATTGGGAATAGGGGATGGCATTTTTGCAGGAAGGTGGGTGAGAGGAGGTGTATTCTAGGTAGCTGTGGGAGTTGGTGGGCTTGAAATGGATATCGTTTTCCAGGTGATTGCCAGAGATGGAAACAGAGAGGTCCAGGAAGGAGAGAGAGGTATTGGACATGGTCCAGGCGAACTTATGGCTTTTCCCTGCAACCGCAGGAAGTGCTACACCTGCCCCTACACCTCCCCCCTCACCCCCATCCCAGGCCCTAAGAAGACCTTCCACATCAAACTGATGTTCACCTGCACATCTGCTAATGTGGTATACTGTATCCGCTGTTCCCATTGTGGCCTCCTCTACATCGGGGAAACGAAGCGGAGGCTTGGGGACTGCTTTGTGGAACACCTACGATCGGTTCGCAACAAACAACTGCACCTCCCAGTCGCGAACCATTTCAACCCCCTCCCACTCCTTGGACGACATGTCCATCCTGGCCCTCCTGCAGTGCCACAACGATGCCACCCGAAGGTTGCAGAAACAGCAACTCATATTCCGCTTGGGAACCCTGCAGCCCAATGGTATCAATGTGGACTTCACAAGCTTCAAAATCTCCCCTCCCCCTACCGCATCCCAAAACCAGCCCAGCTCGTCCCCGCCTCCCTAACCTGTCCTTCCTCCCACCTCAAGCCCCACTCCCATCTCCTACCTACTAATCTCATCCCGCCCCCTTGACCTGTCCGTCCTCCCTGGACTGACCTATCCTGTTCCTAACTCCCCACCTACACTCACCTTTACTGGCTCCAACCCTGTCTCTTTGACCTGTCTGTCTCCTCTCCACCTATCTTCTCCTTTATCCATCTTCTATCTGCCTCCTCCTTTCTCTCTATTTATTCCAGAGTTCCCTTCCCCTCCCCCATTTCTGAAGAAGGGTCTAGACCCGAAAGGTCAGCTTTCCTGCTCCTCTGATGCTACATGGCCTGCTGTGTTCATCCAGCTCTACACCTTGTTATCTCAGTTTCTCCAGCATCAGCAGTTCCTATTATCTCTCTCAGAGACTGTTTACTGTCTCACTGTGCGCTTATTCTTGCGTGTTTGTGTGTGACTGTGTATCTGTGTCTGTGTGTGAATGCGTGTGTGTCTATCTATGTGTGTATCTGTGTCTGTGTGTGAATGCATGTGTGTCTATCAATGTGTGTATCTGTGTGTGTGTGTCTCTTCATGTGTGTGTCTCTGGATGTGTATGTATGTGCACATGCATGTGCGTGTGTGCACGTGCATGTGCGTATGTACGTGTGCATGTGTGTATGCATGTGCGTGAGTGTGTGTGCATGTCTGTGTCTGCGTGTGTGCTCCTGACCATGTTCAATTCACACCCATGCCACACTGTGTTGTAACCTGACCTGGAGCTGGAAGAAATTTTAATCTGATTTGATGGGAGGGAATACCATTGGAGAAAAAGTGACAAATAGAGTTCAAACTGAAGAGAAGTGCAAGGTGATGCATTGTTGGGAAGTAACAAGGTTACAGTCCATCATTCTCTTTGTTCCAGATCTTACTCTGAAATATCCTTCCTACTACAGGTAGGAACCCACATCTCAGCTCCCAGCTCTCCACCAAAGCTGCCCTGGAAACAGATGGGCAAACCTGGTTCGGAATAGATGATGGGCGGAATGGCCTCCTGCTGTGTCATATTTTGATCACATAGAAACAGTCACAGTCCAGTAGGAGGCCAGTCAGCCCATCGAGTCTGTTACAGCTCTCCACAGCAACTCAGTCAGTCACATTTCCCACAAATTCCCTGTTTCTCAGCAGCTACATTTCTTATATGTGCTTGTCTGGTGTCCTCTGGACAATATTCATTGCCTCTGTTGTGAATGTAACTATGTTAGCCAACTGGATCTCAGAGAATATGAGTTCCCTGATTGAGGCTGTTAATTTGGTCCAATTGGGGAGCCCTGGCTGGTAGTTATAAACAGGATTGTCAGGGGTTCTGCTCACTCTGAGAGCTGGCTCTCAGGGAGATGGATCAGTGTAAATAAAGGGTGATTTGGTGATGGGATACCAGTCTCTGCGGAGTTAATTCAGTCTCCACTTTCAGTCCCCGGGCGGGGCAGTGGGTTCCAGATTATTCCCACTCGTTGTGGACAAACCTCTTCCTCACATTTGCCCTACATCTCCTGCTCATGAGACCATAAAGAACTAGGAACAGGAGTAGGCCATTCAGCCCCTCAAGCTTGCTCTGCCATTCAATAGGATGGCTGATCTGACATCCAAAGAACAAAGAACAAAGAAAATTACAGCACAGGAACAGGCCCTTCGGCCCTCCAAGCCTGCGCCGATCCAGATCCTCTATCTAAACCTGTCGCCTATTTTCCCAGGATCTGTATCCCTCTGCTCCCTGCCCATTCATGTATCTGTCCTTGCATCCACTTTCCTAGAATCTCAGCTGTAAATATACACAAGGGTTCTGCCCCCACAGCTCTCTGTGGCAGGCAGTTCCAAACACTCTGAGAGAAGAAATTCCTCCTCATCTCAGTCTTAAATTGACACCCCGTTATTCTGACACTTTGCTGTCTTGTCGTAGACTCCCATGAGGGGAAACAGCCTCTCAGCATTTACCCTGTCCATAGAATCCTTACAGTGTGGGCAAGCCCCTTGGGAATCTTGAATATTTCAATGGGAATCTTGAATATTTCAATGAAATTAGCTCTTGTTCTTCTAAACTCCAACGAGTAGAGTGCTAACCTGTTTAACCTTTGCTCATCAGACAATTCCCCCCCATTCCCATTCCCATACCCAAAATCTTACTTCAGAGTTTCCCAGTCCTTGCACTGTTAGTTCAAGCAAAGGGGTTTCTTTACCTCTGTCTTAACTAAACTCGTCCTAATCCTCTTCATCCCCACCAAACCTCCTCTCCATCTCCTTCACTCCAAGAAGAACTACACCTTCCCTTTTCTGATGAAGGGTCTAGGCCCGAAACGTCAGCCTCTCTGCTCCTATGATGCTGCTTGACCTGCTGTGTTCATCCAGCCCTGCACCTTGTTTCCTCAAATCTCACCTACACTCGTTCAATATCCCAACTCCTTGACCCAGTGAGGAGTCATTTTCCTCCTGCTCAGCTTCTCCCCGCAGTGGTAATGCCTGGCATGGGCAGGTCCCGTCCTGCCCTGAGATTATACATGGAGGGTAATAACAGAGGGTCTGGTATACTAAGAGTGAAATCTGCAGCTCTCCATGACCACACAAAACTGATAAACAAATTGGATTCTGGCTTTTATTCAGGTTAAATATATTCTGCATTTAGAATTAAATTACATCATTCCCAGTTGTCATTTAGGACAATGTTATCACTTCCCTGAGCTTCCTATTCCTCTGCCAGTCATTGCATATTCCACTCACAAAACCCAATTTCCTGGTGTTTAATACAGTGCTCACTGAGTCATCGGTTACTCCAACTCAAGCCCTTACAAACCACAACAGCCGAATTCAAGCACTCACTCCCCCTGCTACTCATCCACTGATCCCATACTCCCCCTGACCCTGCACTTACCCCTGACCCTGCACTTACCCCTGACCCCACACAAAACCACCCCCCCGCTGAACCCATACTCTTGTCAGCCTGTAAACCCCACCCTTCTAATAACCCCGGACTCCCAATAACCCCATCCCCCTAGCCCCTGTGCCCTGGAAGTCCTGTGACTGCTGGGTGCTGCTTGTCGTGTGACCCAGCTGTGCGTCACTAAGTTATAGAAAGTCTTATCTTTACTTCATTCTCAGGGTGATGTGGTCCTTGGTAAAACCAGCCCTCAGTGCCCCTTCCTCATCAATCTGTGGTGGACCATTGGCTGCTTCAGGATGCAGTCAGGAGTAACCTCCTTTGCTTTGGGTATGAAGTCACGTGTAGGCCAGACTGCATCAGGACAACAGTTCCCTTCCCTGAGTGATGGGTTTTTCTTGTGTTTTGAAACGAACTTCTTATTCCAGATTTATTTAATTAATTTAATTTAAATTTCTCCCGGCAGCCAGTGTGGGAATGCGAACCCGTCTGTGGATCTTTGATCTGGAGCTCTGGATTCCTAACACAGTCACAATTGAACATAACCAGGGATCCACTCCATCTGCCTCGTACTGCTCTTGTTGTCTTTGCACATTCTGTGGGTTCACCTCTGCTCGCCTTCGTCAGTTTTATAACAGGAAACATTACAGGTACTGATGTTGGGGTCACATTCTTACCTTGTAAATACAAGACTTTGCATTTAGGAAGAAGAGCTCAATGGTGGCATTGTCCCTCAAATAAGCGATGCTTTCGATGTAGAACCTGCAAAAGAATTAAAAACCCAGTGTAAAGGAATGATCTTCTCTCCCTTCAGAACCTCTTATTAAAAACGTAAAGATTTCTTCGTCACTGAATCAAACTGCGTTTGCAGACTGACATCAGACCAATCGACTGAATCACATGCTCAGCTTTTTTTTAGGAATACAGACTAGGAAAAATGATTGGGGAATGTCTAAAAATGGCAATGATCCCAATTTGGATGAGATTTTGTTGAAAAATGGCTAATTTCAACTGTCTACAAAACTCTAGTTTAATCACAGCTTAATTAATTGTCCTGTACATATAAATAGCATGAACTTCTCTACAGCCTGAGAATTGTTAGGCTCAATCTTACCTCTCGATTGCATCGTTTAAAATGGATTTTCTGAAGCAGGAGAGCTCTAATGTCACTGTGACCTAACCTGATATTTAGCAGCTTGGGAGGGAGCTCTTTAACAATGTCATAATGGGAACCACATTTGGGAGGGGAGGTCTGACTCTGGACGTAACAAAGGATTAGCTGGATGATGACGTCTGAAAATGATTCTTTAATATACTTGACCTGCAGTTTTTTCCTTTATTTCTGAGCAGCACATCTCCCCTGCCCTCGCTCACAGTCAGTCAGGGGCGAGACTGGTTTCATTCTGTATTTATTTCAGGAAAAGTTCTCTGATCAATCTTGTTGCCCCTGTAAAAGATGCAGAAACTACACACTGGTGATAGCGAAAGGGCTGCAGCATCTTCTCGGGGGTGGGGGGGTAGCTGAGAAAGAAGAATTGAAGCTGCAGTTGGATCAGCCACAGTAAATAACAGGACAGGCTCAAAGGGCTGAATGGCCTACTGCTGCTTCTAGCTGGTATGTTCTCCATGTAACATGAGGAACTGCCATCGTAAAGTGGCGTTTATGACCCTTACCCAACTCCCAGCTCTTCTTCTGAGCAGATGTCAGGCTGGGTATAACTGTGTGCTTGGTGATCTACTCGGGATCGGGAATGTGGAGGACCACTTGTGTAAAGGATCAACAAGAACCTCCTCCAAGGATTTAAGTCTGGCATCTTCACGGGGCACACAGAGTAATCCTTCTTTCGAGAGTGGACCTTACACTGTACGCACTCAATCTCTAGCCCACGGTAACTGACCCTTGTGAGGGCATCAGGGGATGCAGAGAGGCTTCGAGGTGATGTAGACACAGTGAGGGAGGGAGGGAGCAAACACATGGCAGACACACAACGCTGAGGCTGAATGTGATGTTATACACTGCAGCATGAAAAATAGAAAGACAGAGTATGTTTCAGTGGTGATCTGTGTCCTTATTCACCAGTCAGTGAAAGTATACAGGAAGGTGCAGCAAGCAGTTAGCAAAGCTAACTGTACTGGCCTTCATTGCAAGGGGATTTGAGTTCAGAAGTAGGGATGTCTTACTGCAGTTGTGCAGGGCCTTGGTGAGACAACACCTGGGGTATAGTGTGCAGTTTCGGTCTCCCTATCTGTGAAAGGATATACCTGCCATAAAGGGGCTGCAGTGGAGGGCCATTCGGCCAATACTGGGGATGACAGGACTGCCCCATGAGGAGAGATTGGTTAGGCTGGGTCTGTACACACTGGAGTTTAGAAGGATCAGAGGGGATCTGATGGAAATATATAAAATTCTAACAGGGCTGGGCAGACTAAATACACAGGGGGAATGTTTCGCCTGGGTGACTGGGGACGAGAACCAGGGACACAGTCTCAGGATACAGGGTAGATCACGTAGGACTGAGATGAGGAAACATTTCTTCACTCAGAGGGTACTGAACCTGTGAAATTCTCTCACACAGAAGGCTGTAGAGGCCAAGTCACTGAATATATTCAAAAAAGAGATAGATAAATATTTAGATTTTAAAGACATCAAGAAGTTTGGAGAGAAAGCAGGAACATAGCACTGAGAGAGGCAATCAGCCAATATTGTACAGAATGGCAGAGCAAGCTCGATAGCCTGAATGGCCTACCCTATGTTCCGATGTATCCTCCCTCAACCAACACCATCTGAAAAAAACCATCCGCCATTTCTCACTGGCTGCCTGTGCAAACTCGTTCTGTCCATACTGACAGCGGTCTTTACCCTGGGCACTATGGTATTGAAAGATCAAAGGCAGGTCAGTGGATAGAAAGCTGTTCAGGGCAGACTGAAATTACAATCTGTTGCTATAAAAATGCAGCTAATTCCTTTGAAACCATAGTCTAATTGCCGTAAAGAGACACACCCTGATGCCAATTCTACAAAATTATTTTTGGTCACATCCTAAATTCTGAATTCGCTGATGGGTTGTGTTTTGTGATGCTGTAAATAGACAAACAAAAGGAACCTGCATTTGTATGGCACCTTTCACAACCAACAGACATCTCAAAGTCCCTTAAAGTCAACAATGCACTACTAAAGACCAGTCACTGTTGAAATGTCACAGAGTCATACAGCACGGAAACTGAACCTTTGGTCCAACCAGTCTGCACCGACCATCATTCCAAATTAAACTGATTCATGCACAGCAAGCTCCCATAAGCAGATAGTGACCAGGTAATCTGCTTCTGTGATGCTGTTTCAGGGATAACTATTGCCCAGGAACAACTGCCCCAATCTTCTTCAGAGTCAAGTCACGGGATCTTTTACACTGATCTGACTCACCGAGAGGACAGCGCAGTGACAATTTTATGCGCAAGTCCTACAGCGGGGCTGGAACCCACAAACTTCCCACTCATGAGACTACTCCACTAAGCCAGGGTGGACCAGCTCACAATGCAAGTCATGATTCAAAACCTATTTTACGTCCCAGTATATCTGTGTTTTGGAGCCGTCAGCGGCCAGTGTCTCTAATTCATTGGGCATTACAGATGAGGCTATTCCTAAGTACTGAGGGACCTGGTTCCGTGGATTAATAATTCATTGGGCATTACAGATGAGGCTGTTCCTAAGTACTCAGGGACCTGGTTCTGTGGATTAATAATTCATTGAGAACCCTGCCCTGTGAAAGCACGCTCTGAGCCTGAAGCTTCAGGTCCATGGTCTCTAGGAGATGACGTTTAAGGAGGTACGTTTGTGATATGGCCAAACAGGTCGAGCATTAACCTGTAAATCGTCCTCACCACTGGCTGAGTAGGAGAGAGTCCTGGCCCACTGTGTGGTGGGTAGGAAACGGGGCCCTTGCCATCACTATCAATATCTGGCCATGTCTTCATTGGTTCATCAGATATGAATGTCACAAGCAAGGCCAACATTTATTGTCTATCTCTAACTGCCCTTAAACCGAGGGTATTGCTGGGTATTTCCAAGGGCAGTTAGGAGTCAACCCCATCGCTGTGGGTCTGGAGTCACATGTAAGCCAGACCAGGTAAGGATGTAAGATTCCCTTCCCTAAAGGACATTAGTGAACCAGATGGGGTTTTGCACCATTTGGGGGTTAGTTCACTCGGCTGTGTGTGGGGGGGAGATGGTTCATTTGACTGTAGTGGAGGGGAATGGTTGTGCAGTCGGGCGGATAATGCTTGGGAGATTTTTGCATTTATGCTATAACTTTAACAAGTTGGTGCAGTTTTAATGCATTATAGAAAAGTCACACAATATTAACAGGTGGAAGGGCTCCATAAACACATGTTGCTAAATTGCTAGAATGAGGGTTAAATCTTGAAAGTTGATGGGCAGGAATAACTCCAGGATCCACCAGTCCCTGCTTTCCATGTGACTGTTCAGGACACATCACATAGTCGCCAGTGCCTAGTCACAATTTGCTGCCGATGATTCTCAGCTTGCTCGGGAAATACGCAGCATTGTCGCAATGTCCAGGGGACTCTGCTATAATGCATGTTCTGGCAACATGAACTGGCTGTAACGCGATTGAGGAATAGGGGAATGCTATTTCTAAAACATGAACTTGTGTTGGCTATAGCGCGATTCCATCAGTGTGCGGAGGAGGACGTGTCGGTATCACATGATCATTTCATGGGCTTCGTCGTGAAGTGCTTTCTGTGTGAGGTGCAGTACAAACTTCTCCCCCATAAAGACATCTTGACATTTATTCCCAAGGTAAATTGTTAAATTTACTTTTATTTCATTATTAGATATGAATCAAACATTTATTCAAATTGTGAGATAACAAGGTGTGGAGCTGGATGAACACAGCAGGTCAAGCAGCATCAGAGGAGCAGGAAAGCTGATGTTTCAGGTCTGGACCCTTCTTCAAATTGTGTTATCCTTTGTGGTAGGCTTTTGAGTGATTTTTGAGTGTCTTTTTTTGGTGGTCTGCCCTTAGCCCTACTTTTCCCATAGGCCCAGTTATTTCTATAGCACGATTTTCTATAACATGATATTGCACAGCAACGCAACTATCGTGTTATAGCAGAACCAACTGCATCATGTATTTCTCTGCTCCTTTGACAATCATCTGGAAGGTACGGGAGGGAATTCAGCAATCCCACAGGGAGAAGTGTCTTGTGAAAGTGTAGGTCAGGGTCATTCTAACAGTAATGTGGTTTCCATTCTCCGAGCTGCATTCACTGACAGCTTCCTGAACGATGAGAGAGTTAGTGGCTAACGTTTAATAGAATTTCTGTGGTTCCCCTGGTAATTCCCCGAGACAATGTTGCGAGGAGAGATTCAGCTGAATGGGCCTATACTCCACACACGGTTTTGGAAAATGGAAAATGGAAAATGATCTCACTGAAACATCGAGAATTCTCAGAGAATCCGACAGGGTGGACCCTGATAGAAATAAAGACAAATTGCTGCACAGACACGGTATATCTGACAGCACCAAAACTCCACCTCTGCAACACTCACCATCCTGACTGGGAAATATATCGCCGTTCCTTCAGTGTCGCTGGTCAAAATCTTGGAATTCCCTCCCTAACAGCATTGTGGGTCAACCTACAACAGGTGGACCGCAACAGTTCAAGAAGGCAGCTCGCCACCATCTTCTCAAGGGGCAACTAGGGACGGGCAATAAATGCTGGACCAGCCAGCGACACCCACA